AGGCCTTGTACATGTTATAACACGAGTTGGTAATACGATCTAAACAAATAAACTTGTCACTTTTATATCGGCTTAAACTTTTAGATAAGCCTAAACGTTTAGACGATATGGTTTAATGGTACTCATCACACGAAAAAAGCACCTAAAAATTGACGAGCTCTTATTTTGTATTGTCGCAGCAGGAATCATCGATAAATGCTCAAGAAGCCGAATGGCTGAAGTACTCGACCTTCTGGCCCGACCCGGACAACCCAGATCATCATCATCACGGGTAGGAGCAACAGTACTATATAAAAGAGGAAGCACAACACGTTGAGCAGACAAAATCATTGCCTTGATCATTTCTAGTTACTTCAAGCCTTCCTCAAGTTCTTTTCCAAACAAGGGCAGAGATAGGGACCATTTACATATATATATACACACACACACATATATATATATATATTTGTCCCTTTATCCATCTTTTTCTCCTCTAATTCCTGTCTGCAGAGCTGATGCCTCAACTAAACTAACTGTTCAACAAAATCCATGTTGGAAAAGAAAAGTAAAGAATAGAAAAGAGAAAAGAAAGAGAAAGGGAATTAAAGAAACCAAGAAAGGCTGCACAAATATAACAAGGAACAAAGACTTAAAGCAAGTATTCATCCTGCATGAAAATCATCACCATGATGATTACTATATTATCTTTATGCTTGTAATTCTTATTATTTTGTTCTTTTTTGGGTTCTTTGTATAATTTGTTTTACTGGATTTTACAAGAAAATACTGGTCAAATACTGCAAAGAAATTATAAAACTTTGTATATTTTGAGTAGTGGAATACAAGGGGCAATTAGAATGGTTTGCCTTATAGACATGTACTTGTATTCATATAATTTAATTTATAAATTGTATGATGTTCACTGTCGCACTTCTTTCTTTTGAGATTTGGAGAAAATCTTTAATGGCTTTCAATAGTAAAGTGGCTCTGCTGGTTTAAGAATTAGACCGAATCCACTTTTCTTTTTCTTGATGAGAAGGGACTCAATAAAATGCCTAAGAAAACTATATTCTCTTCATGTTTTTGTAGGAAAATGGTTCTTATGCTGAAATGCCGGTTGATGTGAACCGCACGTGTGTTAATATAGGTTGGCGCCACCCACCGTAAAAAGTCCATATTTGGTAGAAATTAAAACCTAGATTTTATTCTAAATCAAAATCAATAATTAATTTTAACCACATATTTAAAGAGCCTTACAACTTTTGAACCACACATTTCATCAAATTTTATCAAAATCTATTAAAAATCTGATTTTAATCCCTACCAAACAATAGTTAAATGGGGGCACAGCATGAGAAATCCGTCATTGAAAATGCACTGAATTTTAAAAGCTTTCACGAATATCTTTTCGTGAAATAATCACACCAAAATCGACTCTTGGATTGTGACGAATGAATTCTTTTTAGTGTAATTGAGTTTCTAATGCAACTGAGTATTGGTTTATTGGGACATGGGGTCTTCTGAGGAGGGATAGAGCTTTGACAAGAGTTGGCATACACCGCAAGGTAGCTAGGTTTACCATAGACCAAGGACAATGGAGAGGGACTTCATCTTCATGATATTATTTCAATTAAGTAGGGCTTATTAATTATTTCATTAGGAGATGAAGGACTACTTTGCAAATTCTTTTTAAGTTTTCTACTAGGTTTTTATTGAATATAGCTACATATTCTTTGTTTATTATGCTAATTTGTTTTAATTATTAATATTGTTGTGAGGGTTTCTCAAAATTCTCAGTATTCACTGAATCAGCTTTAGAAGTGTCGTTTAATATCGATTTCTCCTTTGGGCGTATTATACATTACGAGTTCCAATAAATAAAATTCCTTCTTTATCCTTGATGGCTTGTGAATTCTAAGTCAACTAAAATATTTGCAATCATACTTCTTTTGTCATACTACTTAGCTCTTGTTGAGTGAAAATTAAAATTCGGATTTTAAACTAAGTCAAAATCAATAATTAATTTTAACCACACATTTCATGGAATTTACAGACTTTTTCAACTATTATTAATTTTTATCAAAATTTACTAAAAATTGATTTTAACCCCACCAGGGCTTAATAATTGGATGTGATAATTGTGGAATTATTGATAACACTTAGATATGGTAGAAAGTATTGAGTATAAGTAAATGAAGACGTATAGACTCATGACATTTGTTCCATTTTAATAATAAGCTGTTTAGCATGTTCGTTGAAATTTTGTATTGGTTAATTATCGTAAGTATAACAACTTAGACCCGACGTTACTCATGTATTTAGTTCGGGAGAGTTTGTATCTATCTTATTACTCACAAAATTTCTTTTATGTTACTTAGGATTCGAACAAATAACCTTTGTCTTATGAGATTCAAATTAAGTATATCATAAGACAAATTTCGTGAATTCGAAACTAGGATAACGCGAAAGAAATTCGTGAATGGTAAAAGCGAAGAGTGAATAGACCTATAACGTTGCAACAAGGTAGTTATGTTAAGTCTACTACAACAATGATCAATAAATAAATAAATAAAATATTGTGGGATCTCTTTAAAATAGAATCATTTGATAATGTTATCTTTTCCTATTATTATTTGTGTAAGCCATCTAAGAAGAACTATTAGTAGAAGGTATTGTTACAACTTACATGATGAAAAGTTTGTGTTTTCACATTCACATAGGTAACATTTATCAAACCTAGTAAATTTTCGTTTTCTCGGTTTAATGTTCAGAAAATATATTACCGTGATAGGAAACAGATCGATACATGCGTGCAGCAGGTTCAATGCTACATGCAAACCATAGTATACCTTGTAAACTAACTGTTTTCTTACAAAATAATATTTTTTCAGCTGCTACGGCCATTTTCTCGATCTTCCCAATTGGTCAAGGAAGTTATTTTGATGATATGCCTCATGATTGTATTCCAAGTTAGTTTATTGGGGTGATAGCTGAAAAGTTGATAGATAAGGCACCCTTACTGTCACTCTATAGAACTGTACGTGAGATTTTTAAGATAGCGATAATGTTGTTTTTCGTTACTATTGAAACCCCTTTATTGCTTTATTCTATTCTAGATGCTTGATGTTTCTGCATAATAATGTAAGGGAAGAGATATGCTCGACATTCCTAGAGAGAGAAAGTGAGGTGACGTGCATGGTATTTTTTTTCTCATGGCACGTGTATATATATAATATATAAGGCAGCTTCATAGAATTTTCTTAAGGGAATAAAGCCGCCTCAACTCAACAAGGAATCAGTTGATGATTTCATGTAGATAGATATTGTGTATGGATTGAAGTTTCAAAAAATATTTTTTAAAGCTAAGAAACGCGACAAGAATAATCTTTAGATCTTAAAACGACCAAAAGATCCCAAGTCACCGGATTAAAATGATACAAGTTTAAATGATATATGGAATGCATGAGGCTTGAAGGTTGCATGACTAAGTAGTAGACCCACCAGTTGCTTCGAGCCGATCGAGTATATGGGCTGGTCAAAAAAAAAATGTCTCGGGTGCATTGAGCCGCAAGTGAAAGGTGGTTTTATGGATTCGATGAAGTAGGTTGATCTTGAAATAGGTCGAAAGACTTTTCTACCAAAGATCAAGACAATATGCCACGGATATGTGTCCAAACTGATTAATTCTTTATTTATCAAATCTTGCTACCTAGGTTGGTTTTATTAAAAAATAATTTTTTTTTCAAACCAAAAAAAAAAAATTAAATGAAAAAGGCAATTTGTGTCATTTTGCTTGGATAAATATTGTGGGAAAATAAAGAAATTAAATGAGGTAGTACAAAGGGAGAGTACTGCATAGAAGAGAAGAAAATGAAATGTCACTTTCCACATGCAATATAAAAAAGAAGAATTAATGAGATGTCTTTATTCAATTCTTTCGCTTTATGGAAGATTTTGGATGCTTTTAAAAGGAGAGTAAGGACTATGGAGGATTATCAGATTTAGGGTTTGGTTAGTGCATTGAGGAATATCACATGGCCTAATCCACCTTTTTTGGATTCTTCAATATTGGATATTTTTCAAAATATAAGTTATTTTTTTCAAAATAAATAATTTCAAGGTATGTATTCATTTTTATCTACATTTAACCCTTATATCGTTTCTTATAGTTCTCAACTTCTCGTAAGTTTTTAGTTTCTAAAATACAAGATATATTTTAACTACTAATTAAGTCTACTTTTCTTAATTTATTTATTCAAGTTCGGGATGGCCCAACTACGCTAGCAAAAATAATGAATGAAGGATTAATGACTTCACACGTGCTTTATTTTGCTTGATGGATATTAGCTCACATTGTATAACTCTACTCTTATAATTTGATCGTTGCAACTATGGGACTATATAAATTTTATTAGTACGTTCTAAACATATAAAATCGCTCCAATTAACACTTTTATAATTTATCTTTGAGAAAGTGTCAAAAAATAAAGGGCCATTTGCTGCTTTATCACGAATGCTACATCAAAGATGTATAGTCGTGTTCACTAGAAAATCAATGTCGTTGCTAGATTACATCGTGAAGTATTAGTTTCCAATGTAAATAAGTGAATAATTTCCATAAAATTAGATTATTTGCTCAATTAATAGTTTTTTCTAAGCTAACTTTTTTTTCTCAATTATTCATTACTTGCATTACTTGAATCTATAATTTAATGTTCAGTAATTGTCACCTAGATTGGTGCTATGCGCTTGTTTGATGCACACTGCTCGACCAAAAAGGACGGTGAAATGGTTAAAAATTTAAAGCCGTCTACATAATATTGTAAAATCAGATAGCCCACAGCATGTGAACAAGAAGATCACATACAAATATACACAAAAAGAACTACTTATATACAACATTGATCTTCAAAGTATTTCCTTCTGTCATTGATCCTCATAAAAACATAGAAGGCTTTGAAGCTATAAACATGCATCATGCTCCTCTGTAACAATTCTAGCATTTTGTTAACGGGTCGGATTTAGCAAGCGCGTGCTTCTGTCATCTGCCTTGTGACAGATGCACAACCACCCGAAGCTTTTAGAGATGCAAAGAGGCAGGACAACCTAGCCATCATGGGGATAGTCTTTGGCATTCTGGGCACAATTGCAAGCGCCTTACCAGAATCATCGTTACAAGGGTTAAGATACCCTTCCAGATCAGCTTTTGTAATAATTACAGCATCTCCTGAGGAACAGATTAAACGAGACAACATCCGCTGCTGCTTATATTCTTGTACTGCCTGGAAAGCAGAAGAAGTCATGATCAGAAACATTGAAAACTAATCTTTATCCAGTAAGAAGTTAGATAGTAAGATCCTAAATGGAATTTTAGTTGGAAACAGGGTAGACTTTTTCTATGCTCACCTTCCATTGGGAAGGAGCTAACAGGATCCTCGGTCTTCTAGAGCGAACATATTCAAACGCAGCAACAGGGCTCATATTCTTGTATTCAACCTGCATATAAACTCAGTTCACCAATTGTGCTATACCAAAAATAGATGGAAGTGAAAAATGCTGCATAAAAGAAAAAGTCCTTTACAGAAAGAACTCACCAGATAGCAGAGCACAACGGTTGTGCTCCGTCCCCTCCCTGCTTTACAGTGGACATATGTTGTTCGACCACCACAAGAATTCTCTGTAACCATAAAGAAAAGCAAATAATTATAGATGAAGTACCAGAACATCATACTCTATAAATATAGCTCCTGTTTGACATCCATTTTAATGAGTTCTTTTGGGGAAATGAGTTTTGGAATAATGATTTTTTTGAGAATGTATGGTTAAAAAAGTAGGAAAAAAGATGAGTTTACGTATAAAATATTTTATTGTGTGAATGTGTGGTTGAAAATGAGTTTGATAAAAAAAGAGTTTTGATTTAATGGATGTCAAACAGGGGCATAACACAAGAAAACATCGACAAAGATCACATACCGTGGATAAAATCTACCGCTCGGTTGATATCCGCAAATGAAGGAGCAAAGAGATAATCCCTAGTCGGAATTACTAGATGGTCTATCTCATGAGCCTGGGAATAATAAAGAAATAATGACGTGAGGGTAAAGTGACAAAAGAAGATCGATCCTTTGTGTTTGTTTTGATTGTGAAATATGTAATGCTTTTTCCAATATACAAAAATTCAGTTGTTCAAAGAAACAAATGTACATGCTCAAAGAGGACCATTCCTTGTCTAAATAAGTGATATCCATAAAGCACAAAGGGAACAGGGAAGGTAAAATGCCCCCGCCCCATCCCGGACCTGGGGCACCAACTAAACAGGGGAATCCCCTCCCAATACAACGCAAGGCAAGGCAGGGCGGGGCAAGGCGGGGCGGAGCATTTTCAATCGCTAGAACAGAAAAGTATTTAATTATTTATCATTCGTTCTTTTAAATTGTTTTGCACAACATCCTCAGGATATGTTGCGGCAGAATATATCATTTCTACAAAGCACAACATTCACAACTACAACATGAACCATTGGTACATAATCATCATTATTTATTATCCACTCAATTAACTTTTTGAGATAAAGATAAGTAGAGAATGAAATCTACAGAGGAATACTCAACCATTTCAACACATATAGGTAAGCAAAAATGATATAGCTATATGGCTATAGATGCCTGGACATAGAAAAATAAGAATAACATGATTAAAACATACAGTGGTGTGCCAAAAGAAAATTAACTTGAGAAAGCTTAATCAGTTGGGAATAGGTCAAAACAAGCCATCTAACAGATTGAGTTTGAAAGGCAAATTAAAATACTCCCAAAGTAAACCAGCCCTTTCAGATATATGCTGCCCGATCATTCCTAAGAATCTACCCAAGAGGCATGGATTTAGATCACAAGTTGATGCCTGAAGCAACAGTATAGAGATCTAAGAGATGTGAATAAAAATAAAAATATAATTCTAATACCAAGCTTCGGCTGAAACTAAATTAATCAGTCATCTAGGAAAAATACACCATGTGCTGTGCACCACATTCACACTTCATTTTGCATAAATTCAATAAACCAATAAAAAAAAACATCCATAGCTTCAAAACTCATTATTATAAGAACCATAACAAGAGAATATTGATTTACAGAGAGCAGATACCAACTATAACGAAGACCATCAGTGGTGATAAATATTCACAAAATTTTGGGAGGACAAAATTTTCAGTTTTAACCCAGAAAATAATTGTAGTTAATACTTGATAATATCCAACACCAGGAAGAGAAAACAATGTCTAATATCTAACAACCACTTACATGGTACAAAGATGTCGATACCAAAGTTTCATAGGGCTCATTAAGAGTAATCACACCTCCAACTCCAAGCTGCTTCAGCCGAGGTACGTCCTTTGGAAATGGAACAGCTCCCAACAAGAGAAACTGCATAAGCATAATGAATTCAACATATTAAGGGTGTGTTTGAATCTAATTTTGAAGAGAATAGAAATTTTAGAATAGTGATTGATGTGAGAATGTGTGGTGGAAAAGTGATGAAAAGTTTTTGATTTGTGTGTAATATTATTTTATTTGAAGATTGTGTGGTTGAAATGAAAAATGAGAATGAGAATGGAAATGAGAAAGAGAAATTAATTGGTGCCAAACGGGGGCTAAGAATCCATTCTTCTTTAAAACTTATTGTAGCAAGGAGAAGCAATCAAACTTTTCCTCACATCTACAACATAGTCCAGCAAACAAGGTTATAAGAGCATCTCCAATAAACTCTTTAAATATGAGATTCTCTATATTTTAAAGAGTCAGCATTTAAAATCATGCTCCAAGAGACTCTTTAAATTAACATTTTAATTTAGAGAGTGAGTTTGGAGAGCCAAACTCACTCTCTATAATTAAATGCATTCAAAGTATTTCAATTTTCAATGTAGGAAAACAATAAAATAATCTAAAGAAAAGCCAGTTAAGACAAAAGATAAAGAAAAATAATAAATATTTTTTGGGAGTAGTAAAATTAAGTGTTAAATATTAAGAACTTGTTAAAGTACTTCAAAATTTTAACTCTCAAAATTTATAGATGCTCTCCAAATAATAGAATATGCTCTTTAAAAATAGAGAGTCTATTGGAGATACTCTAACAAGATTAAGAAGCATATCCAAATATCCACTATAAACTCAACTTGATTAAACTTATTTGCAAGATCCAAAAATAATTCCACAATACAATAATCATTTTCACATTATAGATCAAAAGTGGTAGCGATGTTAGACGATGTGTTAAATTTACTTGACATCCGCAATGGCATCACGTAATAATACATCAAAAGTCCTTTTTTCTTTTTGTGAGAAAACAACATTTCTTCTGCAAGCAGTTGTTTGAGTTCTACAAATTCAAAGGACAATCTAATTTATGTTAACTTTACCCCTTTCATCATGAAAGAAATGTGTTTATAAGTTTTCCCTTCTGTGCTTGAAAAACGTAAATAAGATGCATTTTATTTTTCCACCGTCCACCAAATCGCAACTTAGATGAATGAAATTTGATTCCACGAAAGTATACCACATGCTAATAGGCCTATTATTCTGCCATCCATACTTTATTGATGTGCTTGCAAATAAATGATACTGACAGAAAAAATAAAAAATCCCATTTAATAAGTATTAAAACTACTAGAAAACTTCTCTCCTTGTATGAATTACTGGACTTTATTCAACTGCTCAACATTTTGCCCAGTATGCAACAAAATAACAAAAAGAAAAAATAATTTTGGGGGGGTGTATTCAATTGAGACTTTTAATGACATTTTGGGATTTAAAAAATTTAGGGGTATTAAATGTAGATTTTAGGAGACTCTCTAAAAGTATTGGTGCATTCAAATGAGATTTTTATAAACTTCTAAAAAATCTCTAAAAGTCACGGCGTATTCAATTAAATAAGTCTTGGAGTATTCAAATTTTTATGACTTTTAGAGATTTTTATAAAAGTCTCAATGGTACTAACTTTTAACTTTTAAGCAGAAAGTACTTAAATAAAATTTTAAAATTTGTCTCTTATTAATTACAAGGTTTTGGAGACCTTCACAAAAAAAAAAAATAATAATAATATGTATTTTTTTTTTTTTCAATATTTCTCATTCCTTTTCTAGTTTTCCCTTCTACAAACATTAGAGTTATGATTAAAATTTATTTTTTTCTATTAAGGCTCCATTTGATTGACGGAGTTTTCCAGGGAAGTAGGAAAATATTTTCCTACTTTCACTTTTTTGACCGTTTGATGTGCGAAATTTTCCACGGAAAATGTTTTCCTCCATTTTTCTAGGTACAACCCTTTGATGCACAAATGGTGGAAAAT